AAATAAATAAATAAATAAGATTGTAACATATACATGAATCGAGCGCCACACAATGTATCTTCCCACAGCTTCTCCAACTGTTCTTAGACATCGGGAAGTTGTTTCCAAAACAGCGTTCGGCTTGTTCGCTTTTAAAACAAAAACTTTGCAAAATCCAGGTCCAATTGGAACTCCATCAATTTCACACAACGGATCAACACTAATAAGAAGTCCCTCCGCCAATTGGACTCTTGGTATTACAGAACTCTCCAAAGAAACTTTAATTACATCCTACAATGATGATAATACTATTAAAAATAGGCAATGATTGTACACAATGAGCTATAATCTATAACAATAATCGAATAAATACAAAAAGAGTTTGTAACGAAGAAGTATTGATCGAGTTCCGTCTTATCCTACAAGTCATGTGTGCCTAGTATGTTGATATCCGAACCCGTTTGAGCATTTTAGTGTGTCAACCGGTTTGAAAAAGAGCTATTAAGTAACAACTTTTCATTAACGGAAATTAGGCTCTAGATTAAAAATCGGGAATCGGTTTCGCGTTCCATCTTATCCTACAAGTCATGTGTGGCTAGTATGTTGTGCGTGTCAAGTTTCGTTAACATCCGAACCCGTTTGAGCATTTTCGTGTGTCAACTGGTTTAGAGTTAATAAGTAACAAGTTTTCATAAACGGAAATCAGGCTCTATATTAAAAACCGGGAATCGATTTCGAGTTCCGTCTTATCCAACAAGTCATGTGTGCCTAGTATGTTGTGCGTGTCAAGTTTCGTTGACATCCGAACCCGTTTGAGCATTTTAGTGTGTCAACCGGTTTGAAAAAGAGTTATTAAGTAACAAGTTTTTATTAATGGAAATTAGGCTTTAGATTGAAAACCGGGAATCGGTTTTGAGTTCCGTCTTATCCTACAAGTCATGTGTGGCTAGTATGTTGTGCGTGTCAAGTTTCGTTCACATCCGAACCCGTTTGAGCATTTTCGTGTGTCAACTGGTTTAGAGTTAATAAGTAACAAGTTTTCATAAACGGAAATCAGACTCTAGATTAAAAACCGGGAATCAATTTCGAGTTCCGTCTTATCCTACAAGTCATGTGTGCCTAGTATGTTGTGCGTGTCAAGTTTCGTTGACATCCGAACCCGTTTGAGCATTTTAGTGTGTCAACCGGTTTGAAAAAGAGTTATTAAGTAACAAGTTTTTATTAACGAAAATTAGGCTTTAGATTGAAAATCGGGAATCAGTTTCGAGTTCCGTCTTATCTTACAAGTCATGTGTGCCTAGTATGTTGTGCGTGTCAAGTTTCGTTCACATCCGAACCCGTTTGAGCATTTTAGTGTGTCAACCGGTTTGAAAAAGAGTTATTAAGTAACAAGTTTTTATTAACGGAAATTAGGCTTTAGATTGAAAACCGGGAATCGGTTTCGAGTCCCGTCTTATCCTACAAGTCATGTGTGCCTAGTATGTTGATATCCGAACCCGTTTGAGCATTTTAGTGTATCAACCAGTTTGGAAAAAAAGTTACAAAACGACAAATTTTGACAAACGACAAGTTTTCAAATTGTTTGAAAGTTTACCTCATCATTAGGTGGTGGTGTATGTGGGTTCTCATCGGCGTCATAATCCGTAGGTTCACGGTGTCCACTCAATGCATCCGGTACCTATGATATTCATGGTATTCTTTGTTAATCGTATTTATATTCAATGATACAATTGTGCTATAATTAGATATTTATAAAACATTTATTTATACCGAACCTGTTTGTTGTGATTTGTACTCCCTTCGTGGGACACAATATCCAACATTTCAGCTTTCATTTCTTGTATCTGTGTCAAAAGCTCTGTTCGCATCTCCTCCCTCAATTCCTCTCAAATCTCATCTCTCAGCTCTTGTCTCAACTCCGTACGAACCTGCTTTGTGATCTCGGCAACAATCGATGACTGAGATCCTGACTGTGATGACTTAGATTTATCTCCATACACCATGCTCCAAGGCACATCCTTGCCGTAAGTACGACAATATCCATGCCCATCTTCACCGACCACATCGTGGAAAACACTATCTCGAGCATCTTCGGTAGTGCGGTAATCTTCAGGCAACATGGACAATTGGCGCTCAAACTCATCCTATAAATTAAAATAACAAGTACATATAATTAAGTAGTTCAAACAAAATCAAATATAAATACAAATTTAAGGATTTGAAAATACCATGGTTTGCCTAACATCAGGGCCAGTTTGATTGCGTGTATATTTCCAAACACTCATTTTATCCGTGGGCAACCCTTCAGCAACCATCTGAAAATTCAAAAATTAATTATTATCCAAGTAATTTACATTCATATTGATATCTACCTAAATAATATATACCTTCCTTCGAATCTGAGTGAATGAAGTACGTCCTGTCGTATGATTAATATAATGAAAGGAACGACTTCTAGCATTGTGGATTGCAATGTCCTATAAAGTTTGCATAAATGTAAGTCGTAAGTATACAAAGTTAATCATTTTTCTGTAGATACGTGCTTTATAATTAACTTATTTTATATACCTCTACTTTCTTAGTCTTCCAATAATCAACAAGATCATACCACTGTTCTGGAACAATTTGCGGAGGCACCATGTCTTTGATATTAGTATGATCCTTGTTAGGCTTAAAATACTTATTCTTGATCTTGCTTTTGTGATCCTTCCACAACTCATTGCACTTTTTCAAGCAACGTGGTTTGTACCCCTCCGGACAAATTTGTAAATTATCCTACAGTACAATTTAAATCATTATTTCAATTAATAATATAATTGAACAGTTTAGTAAATATGCTTTTACCTTAACATCCGCCCATATTGACTCAAGAACATCAATAGGCACTTCGGTCCAATCAACGTACGTAAGAGAAACAATGTTCCCATTACGTACCACGAACCCAAGTTGGCTAGTTAACTTAGACTCATTATCTCCAGTAGGATTGAAGTCGGCATCGAAATCAATGGCCAACTTCTTCCCCGTACCCCAATCTTTAATGCCTTTCGCAAATCCTCGACCTCGGGGGGAAGATAAAGAACCTGTAGGGCATGTGAGGAGTAATGGAAAAAAAAACACATATTACAAAAATTGATAATAAATAACTTGTAGTTAAATTAACGTAATTAGATACATAGCCATTTGTTATACCTGAGTTGGCTTGTGAATTAGTCGCTAGATTTGGAACACATTATAAGAATAAACAAATTATATCAGAATATAATAAACAACATATAAATTAAAGCATAAATTAAATACATGAAAACAAACCTGTACCTGAGGTGGGATATGAAGAAGTCGTCGGTCCTAGCATATGAAATTAGAAAGCTTATGTATAGTGAAAATGAAATAATTTAATTAATATAATTTAAGTACATAACAAATTTCTATACCTGTGGTGGCCTGTGAAGACAACGTTGGTCGAGACAATTGTGATGATGGTGGTGGTTGTATCGGTGGCTGTGATGGTAGTGGTGGTGGCTGTATCGGTGGCTGTGATGGTGGTGGTGGCTGTATCGGTGGTTGTAATGGTGGTGGTGGTTGTATCGGTGGCTGTGATGGCGGTGGTGGTTGTATCGATGGTTGTGATGGTGGTGGTGATTGTGTCTGCATACGCAAAACATCAGCCATAGTGCGAGAGGGGTTATTGAGCTTCCTCTTCCGTGTACCTGAGGTGGGATATGAAGAAGTCGTCGGTCCTAGCATATGAAATTAGAAAGCTTATGTATAGTGAAAATGAAATAATTTAATTAATATAATTTAAGTACATAACAAATTTGTATACCTGTGGTGGCCTGTGAAGACAACGTTGGTCGAGACAATTGTGATGATGGTGGTGGTTGTATCGGTGGCTGTGATGGTGGTGGTGGCTGTATCGATGTTGTGATGGTGGTGGTGGCTGTATCGGTGGCTGCAATGGTGGTGGTGGCTGTATCGATGGGTGTGATGGTGGTGGTGATTGTGTCTGCATATGCAAAACATCAACCATAGTGCGAGAGGGATTATTAAGCTTCCTCTTCCGTGCCATAACAAGCTGTAACAAATATAATTGAAAATATAGAGAATAGTTTGGAGTTAATAATGTAAATACAAAACAAACATAATAAATAAATTGGAAGCACGTAAAATTGTTAAATAAAGTAACATGCCCAAATATGCAAGTCATTAAAGCATGAAAATTTACTGTGCCATTACAGAATCCAAAATTATTACAAAATATCTTAATTCTCTCTTATTTCAACATCAACAGTTTCTCCTTCTACGACTTCCCTCACCCAGCCAACTTCTTCATCACGGACCATTATATTTTCTTCTAATTGTTGACTCATATATGGCTCAGTTTCTGGATCAGTAGAATACATATCAAATAAACCCCTTTGAGACATCTTCACAACCACTTGCCAATCTGATTCTATAGGGTCTGCAACATACCAAACTTGCTCAGCTTGGGATACCAAGATGAAAGGTTCGTTGGCGATTTGATCATCTCGATACAACAAATGGTTGAAGTTAATCAACGTGAACTTGAAATTATCTTCTTTCTTACCCCGAACATTGTCTATCCAGTCACACTTGAACAATACATACTTCATTGCATTGGTGTACCGGATTTCAATGATATCTGTCACTTGTCCATAATAGTACATAGCCCCCACACGAGGATGTTTGTCCTTCCGGCTTGCATAACTAATAGTATCTGCTTTCAAAGCTACACCAGAATTTTGACTGGCTCGACGGTCATCCATAGACTTGACCCGAAAACGGAACCCATTAGTTATGTAACCGTGAACCTTCTTGCTCCGGTATGAGGACCATTTGCCAATGTATGAATCTCTTCGAAAAATATGGCATTATCAGTCCTTCGCAAAGTGTGAACCTATTTAAAACATGAAAGCACATTCAAAACGCAAATCGACCTAAGTTGTAACCTATAGCTAGATTTGTCCATACATACATGTTCTTTAAACCAAGTGTGAAAAGTTTTGAAATGTTCATTTCGGAGTTGATGATCATCAGCACGAGGCATTTTCATCTTAAGTTCTTCAAGGTGTTTCCTATATACGTTGAAAAATTATCAATTACAAATTAATATTTGAAATGTAATAAAAAACAAAAAAAAACTTGTCAAATATTGAATAAGAGGGGTACCTACTTTAGGAATGGTTCAACTGCCTTCGTATTGAACAAGATATATCGATGACACTGTACATAAGAAGTATGACCAAGGTTGAAAGTTGTGGTTTCACCAACAGCACGACCCATATTAGCTACACCATTGTAGTTCCTTACAGGCCGATTCAATTTAGTTTCCACATCATTCAGTTATTGAGAGCAAAAATTCATGCATTCTTCCATGAGATAACCTTTAGCCATTGAACCTTCTGGATGAGCCCGATTACGTGCATATTGCTTTAAAGTAAGAAGATATCTCTCGATTGGATACATCCATCAAATTGAATCACTCTAGCCACCAATGCTTCATCACCTAGGTGTATAGGCAGATGCTCCATTATATCAAAAAAAGCTGGTGGAAATATTTTCTCCAAATGACAAAGTGTTAGTGCTATACGACCTTGGATATTTGCTACATCTGTTTGATGACTTACTTTGGAACACAATTGTCTGAAGAAATTACTTAATTCAATCAAGGCTTGAACAACATTCTTAGGCAACAATCCTCGTACACCCAAAGGAATAAGTTGTTGCATCAGAATATGACTATCGTGGCTCTTTAGACCCGAAATGATTTTATCCTGTAATCGTACACGACGAGAGATATGTGATGAATACCCGTCAGGAACTCTAACGTCCTTAAGCATTTTCAAGAACAAATATTTCTCATCCTTGGTCATTGTGTATTGTGCTGGTGGCAAATAAGCTTTATTCATCCCTCTTGGCTGCAAGTGTAGGGGTTTTCTAATATTCATTTCGAGAGATATTTGATGAATACCCGTCAGGAACTCTAACGTCCTTAAGCATTTTCAAGAACAAATATTTCTCATCCTTGGTCATTGTGAATTGGCTGGTGGCAAACAAGCTTTATTCTACCCTCTTGACTACAAGTGTAGGGGTTTTCTAATATTCATTTCTTGCAAATCGTGCCGAGCATTGACATTATCCTTAGATTTTCCTACAACCCCTAGTATTGTCCATAATACATTGTCACACACATTCTTCTGTATATGCATCATATCAAGGTCATGTCTTATTGGATTGTGCTGCCAATATCCTATGCCTCTCTTTAAGGTCACCCATTCTATATTGGGTTAAGATACCCTCAGATTCTAGTTGTAGCAAAATCTCTGATACAAATAACAATCTCAGTTTGAGAATCAATTCCCGAGTACCACCAAATGATACTTTATCCTTTCGAAATTTATGACCATTAGGTAGGAATCTGCGATGACCTAAATATGAATGTTTCCTACCATGTTTCAACCAACACGATCTAGTTTCCTTATTACAACATGGACATGCATATTCTCCTTTCGTGCTCCATCCTGACAAGTTCCATATGCTGGAAAATCACTAATTATCCATAACAAAGCTGCATGCATTTGAAACATTTGATTTGTTGATGCATCAAATGTAGAGACATCGTCAGTCCATAGTTCCTTTAACTCCTCAATCAACGGTTGCATATACACATCAATTTTGTCACCAGGTCATTTTGGGCCATTGATAAGTGTAGACAAAATCAAAAATGGCTGTTTTATGGACATGCATATTCTCCTTTCGTGCTCCATCCTGACAAGTTTGCATATGCTGGAAAATCACTAATTGTCCATAACAAAGCTGCATGCATTTGAAACATTTGATTTGTTGCTGCATCGAATGTAGAGACACCATCAGTCCATAGTTCCTTTAACTCCTCAATCAACGGTTGCATATACACATCAATTTTGTCACCAGGTCCTTTTGGGCCATCGATAAGTGTAGACAAAATCAAAAATGGTTGTTTCATACACATCCATGGCGGTAAGTTGTATGGAATGAGAACAACGGGCCAGGTGCTATGAACTATGTTCATCAATCTGAATGGGTTAAAACCATTAGATGCTAACCCAAGCCTTACACTTCGACAATCATCAGCAAAGTTAGTATTTTGACAGTCAAAATCTTTCCATGCAAGGGAGTCAGCAGGATGTCTTAAGACACCATCATCTTGTCGTTCCTCTGCATGCCATTTCATGAGCTTGGCCATTTTCGATGACATATACAACCTCTGCAATCTTTACTTCAAAGGGAAATACCTCATCTGTTTAGAGGGTATCTGTTTATCGCCTCCACAAGGAACATTTGAACTATCAGCTCCATTTTGCTTCCACCTAGAACTTTTGCATATGACACATTCATCAAGATTGATGTATTTATTTCGAAACAACATACAACTATTGGGGCATACATCCCACGTTTCATATGTGATGCCCAAATCTGTAGTGATCTTTTGAGCTTTATAGTAAGAATAAGGAAGTTTCGCACTCTCAGGGCAAGCTTCATTCAACAACTCAAGTAACATGGTAACAGAAGTGTCACTCCACTAATTTAGCACCTTCATATGCAAAAGTCGAACAATGAATAACTGTCACGACCCAAACCCGCCCCTATAGGTTTAGCATCGTAACCGGCCAGTAATCCTTGGATTACCGAAGGCCTCTGAACAGATTAACAAGATTAAGGAGCTAGCTGAAGCAAATACATAAATATAGTTGTCCAATGAGCTATGCTGACTTATATGACACAAAATATTTAAAACTTTATATACATAATCAGTAGGCAACCATACATTATACCCACACACATTACAGTATTTTAAGTACAGCCAACGACATCAAATCAAGTCTTAAATAAATAGAAACCACAGAACTTAAACACAGGACGCTTCAGGAACCTCCACGTGAGGCACAATGGTTGGCTGAAAGCTAATACATAAATATAGTTGTCCAATGAGCTGTGCTAACTTATATGAAACAGAATATTTAAAACTTTATATACATAATCAGTAGTCAACCATATATTATACCCACACACATTACAGTATTTTAAGTACAGCCAACGACATCAAATCAAGTCTTAAATAAACAGAAATCACAGAACTTAAACACAGGATGCTTCAGGAACCTCCACGTGAGGCACAATGGTTGGCTGACAACAGAACACAGATCCAAACAAAAGTCTTCAAGCTCGAGCTCCAGAATGCTCACCTATACATATATATACACACAATGAGCTAAAGCCCAATGAATAACATTAAGGTAAAGGGATTAGTGAACGAAATCCGAACATATCATAAGCGGAAAACAGATCATAGCATAATCATCCTCATATCAGAGCATAATAATGGTACTTCCCATAGAACACATCACATAACATCTTCCGACTAGAGTAATTGGTTCCTGATACCGATTAAACACATATCACCACAATGAAGTGGCTAACGAGATCTCATAAACTTGTATGTCATGGACCCGCATTTTCATGCCGTCCCCCATGACTTGGGACTATCTATGGATGCCATAATAGATTTCAAACTTGGGATGCTCGTTCACGTAAACAGATATCATTTTAGAAATTATAGCTTATCACATTTCATTTGGAATATAATTCATATGAACGTCTCTTTACGATAACGTTACTCACAGTGGTTCCAGTAAGCGGTCAATCAATCCTCGAGTCTTGACCTACAACCACAAAATACATAACACAAGCACATCTTATCATTACACATTCACATGGCCAACACGGCGTAGCTTTCATTACGTTGGTTCTTGTTCTTTCTTATCACAATGCTTAAACACACACATACACACTTGCAATTCCTTGACTTAGTAC